AACATCGGCAGTTCTGGAGGGGGGGCGCTGAGCCGGCGGCAGCACTGCCCGTACTGCGGCCGTCATTACCGCTCTCTGGCGCGCCACCTCGAGAAGCACCACGCCTCGCAGCCCGAGGTGCGCGCCGCCATGGAGTTGGCCCACCCACAGCGCTCCAACAGTGGCGCCCCACATCCCTCCTCCGCTTCCTCCTCCTCACACTCCTTTGCCGTCCCTCAGCCCGCAGCCTCAAGCCCTCCCCCTCCCCCCCTCTTCTCCAGGGAGAGGGACTCGCCGTCGACCCGCTCCAACCCCGGCGGTGTCTCCTTCTCCCTCTCACTCTCCCCGTCTCCTTCTCCGCCCGCTGCTGCCAAGAAGCCGCCCAGCGCACCACGGTCCGGCACCAAGCGCCCCGCCCCCCCGCTGGCAGCAACACGAGTCAAGACCCCATCACCTCCCCCGCCTGCTCCAAGGAGGGGGAGGAGGATGAAGAGGGAGAAGAATGAAGAGCAGCCGAAGGTGGAGGTGGAGAGCTCGAAGAGTCAGGAGCAGCTGGCTCCACCTCCGACCCCTGAGCCCGACGTAGACCCGGAGGAGGACCTGGACCTGAGTGGAGACCCGGCGGAGGGGAAGAACGGAGCGCTCCTGAGGTGAGGGGGGTTCTATGTTGATATGTGTGCTGGGTGTGTTTCTGCTGCTCTTTAATGCGTGTGTGTCCTCTCCAGCCCGCAGAGACACCAAATGTCCCCGCTGCTGTCCTCCCTCTCCACCCTGGTTGTGTACCTCCGCCGGCAGCAGCACTCCTCCTTCCTCTCCCTCTCCCGCTCCCCCCACTCGGCGGAGGCCTGGCGCCTCCTCTGCCACTCCAGCCTGTCGCTGCTCATCCTCTACAACCGCCACCGCGAGTGTGAGGTGGCCAAGCTCACCGTGCAGGACTACTGCAGCCGCACCACCCCCCCGCCCGGCCCCACCCCCCCCTCTGGCATGGAGGCCCTGCTGTCTCCCTTCGAGCGCCTCGTGCTGTGCCAGCTGCCGCGGGCGGGGGTCCTGGGGAAGCGCGGGCGCCTGCAGCCGCTGATCCTGCCGCCCCACTGCGAGTCCTGCCTGGACCTGCTGCTGCAGACCAGCCCGGGGGTGGGGGTGGACCCCGACAGCCCCTATGTCTTCTCCCGCCCGTACCACTCTCCCGCCACCCCGCTGCGGGGCACCGACCTGCTGAGGAACCTGGCCCGGTCCAGCGGGGCCAAGAACCCCGGGGCGCTGACGGGGGCGCGGGTGAGGCGGCAGGTGGCCATCCTCACCCAGCTGTTGCTTCTGGAGGAGGGCGAGGGGGGGGGCGTCAAGCGGCTGGAGGAGTTCCTGGAGCGGGAGTACCAGGTCACCCAGAACTGCTCCACCCTCCTCCAGGACCCCACCCTAAT